CCCCAAAACCCCAAAACCCCAAAACCCCTTATAGAGAAATCTTAGATCTAAGCATCATTTAGAGTTTAAATGTTTTAAGAAATTAAAATTAAGCATTTACAAACAACTAATTACTTCATTATCAAAAATTGTACAATTGAATATTTTTATGATGTCTTTTCATAAAGTTTACTTCCATTACCTCTATATCTGTCAATCAGTAAATCAACATCAATCAAAATTTTGACACTCAATCTTCTATCACACTTACATATTCAATGAACGCTTTAAACTAATAAACTAAAGCAATAGTTATTGGGATGAAAACTATAAATAAGGATTTTATAAAGCCATCCATATAAAAACTAATCAAAGCGAACTGTAATAGTATGAGTGTTGCAATCATTATCTCTTTGAAGCTACCTTAATTATTCTCAGACTCAATTGATAGATACAAGCCTACAACTGAAATCATATGTATTGAAAACGATGTTATCAGTGGTAAGAGACATATTTAGGTCTCAATATTAAGAGAGTACTAGTATTTTACATCCATTAAGATTAAAGTACCGAACAGGGCCATCATATGTAATGCTCCTAATATTGCAGCTCTTATAGATTAAACTACTAAACCAGGTAAGGCATATACATATATCAGAAGCAAGCAAATAAATGTAAGATATATTGGATTCATAACAGTTTAGAAGCTAACTGAGTTACTTGTTAAGTATATTCCCAGGAACAAAGCGCTAAACTCGAGACAAATGAACATAAGAATCATTATTAAACTTAAAATTATATTGATAGTCGTATTTATCAGCCTCTCTTGCAATTATATCTAACTAAGCACTGAGTAAATCAGCATTATCGATATCTCTAATGGTATAAATACATGATTGAAAGTTATTTCCTCTGAAAAAATACCACTTAATTTAATATACAGTAATGCTATGAAGATTTTGAAGCAAAAATTACCCATGAAAATCATGTAAATCATTGAACTTTATTTTAAAAATATACTCTAAGTAGGGTCATCTAGTATGCTTTAATGGCTACTCTTTATCATCATTTTTTGGAAATTTTATTCTCCAAGACTTTAGTGAGGGTCCTAAGCATGATTAATTGAATGAGGACTCAAGCCAAGTTCATTATCTTCGAGATGATCAAGATTTAAGCGCAATTAAGTTTTGAGCTAGCCTTTGAGTTCAGGATTGTAATGATTATGGTGTGCTTATGTAGGAAATTAAATATGATTAGCTTGAAAACGCATATTAACAAATCTCATTTGATCATTCTGATTTTCATAGCTCATAATTCTATCCTCGCCATGTTCTTCTTATGTTTAATTATACTCCTCTTGCATCATATCCTCTTCATCTTCTGCTTCTTCCTCTGGCAGGTATTGGTGATTTATTTATTCAGGAAAAGGATAGCCCTATACTATTCTTTAGTTAGGATAATAGCTTTAGACCATGACACCTGGAGACCATGAAAGTCTCTTTCTTTTCTTTTAGATATTTTAGTTTAATGTCTGTATTATTTGCATTCTTTCTTCTTGATTCTAGGACTTTTAGTCTTCTGAAAACAGGAAAGTAGGTTATGCACCTAAATCTACATGATTAATTCCTGACACCTCCTTTTAAGAGTTGAAAGTGAACTATTCTCCAAGATTCATCTGGCTATTAATTTGACTCTCTGAGTTTATGTTTTAGCTCTTGTTTTAATAATGCATTCTTTGAATGTTATCTTATCTATGCTAAGTTTATTCCTGGTCCAGCTATTAATAAGAATCCTCAATGTTAATGGGGGATTGATGCAATTACTACTACTGCTGATTATTAGAAGTACTATCTTTGCTTTTATTGTCTTGATCCAGTAAGGAGTAGTAAAGATTTGAGGGATCAGTTTTATCAAGTAACATTGTCAAATAATTTTTATATTTAAGACGTTAACAATTTATTTGCTAAATTAAAATTCATTTAAATATTCTACACCTTGGGGTTTTGGGGTTTTGGGGTTTTG